GGTCCACCTCATGTGAGAGGGTGGACACCTTTATGTACAAGAAATTATGTACAAGTAGCTTTATCCTTTATTTAAATGCAAAAATATATAATTTATATAATTGAATCTGTAAAGTGTTGACAGATGAACAGATAATTTAACGTCCACTGATGCTAAATAGAATTATTCAATACAAAAAATGTAAATTTATGTAAATTAGAAAAATGCGTCACAATTAGGTCATTGTTAACTTTCGAGCCGCCATTCCTTAATTGCATTTTCCAAATAAACTAGTTATAAGTCAACACGGGCCAAGCTCGTTAACAACTAGGCTGGGCCCGTTAATGCTTACTAAAAAGTGGGTCCATAAGCGTTGAAAATTGATTTTAGAGCTTATTTATTCAAACTGGGGTTTAAATTTAACAATTAAAATTGTTGAAATATTGACGTAACAAAAACAAGATTACTCATATTTATACTTTGTGTAAAAGAGTTTCGAGAGAAAGTTATCTAAGGTAAGTTTCCTCTGAAATCTTTTCTAGTCATACAAAACACTTTTAAAAATTATCCGAACATGTTCGAAAATAATTTTTTAATTTAGAAGCAGGTTTTGACTTTTTAAAAATCTTGTCAAATGAACACTCAAATTACTATAATAGATTGTTGACGATACGTGTTTTTTTTGGTCAAACTATTTCAATTCGATGTGCTTTCATATATTCATGCACGACTATTGATGACAACTACACTTTCATGTAGAATCATGCTGCATTTTATCTCCCCCCACCTATCACAGGGAGCTAGTTGGCCCCCTAGCACTACCAGGGCCTACGTGGCCCTCGTAAAGGTGTTTAACCCTTACATGTATTATGCATGGTCTCGATATTTTTTCTTTTACTTGGAATATTTCCAAGATGCAATAGTTATAGAAGCAATGGAGGTCCAAAATAATGGGCTCTATATATTTATTATATTAACCACCCTCCTTATTAAAAAAATCCCCCCTCTCCTTTTTCGTGCAATACATTTCATTTCATAAAAAAAAACATAGCAGCATTATTAAGAAAGAACATCACCAAACANTTTTAAAATGTAAAAGAAAATACATAGTTTAGTGTAATTTCCTCATTATTCAATACAAAAAAGTAAATTTATGTAAATTAGAAAAATGCGTCACAATTAGGTCATTGTTAACTTTCGAGCCGCCTTTCCTTAATTGCATTTTCCAAATAAACTAGTCATAAGTCAACACGGGCCAAGCTCGTTAGCAACTAGGCTGGGCCCGTTAATGCTTACTAAAAAGTGGGTCCATAAGCGTTGAAAATTGATTTTAGAGCTTATTTATTCAAACTGGGGTTTAAATTTAACAATTAAAATTGTTGAAATATTAACGTAACAAAAACAAGATTACTCATATTTATACTTTTAGTTCTGCTTTGTGTAAAAGAGTTTCGAGAGAAAGTTATCTAAGGTAAGTTTCCTCTGAAATATTTTCTAGTCATACAAAACACTTTTAAAAATTATCCGAACATGTTCGAAAGTAATTTTTTTAATTTAGAAGCAGGTTTTGACTTTTTAAAAATCTTGTCAAATGGACACTCAAATTACTATAATAGATCTTTGACGATACGTGTTTTTTTTTTTTTGTCAAACTATTTCAATTCCATGTGCTTTCATATATTCATGCACAACTATTGATGACAACTACACTTGCATGTAGAATCATGCTGCATTTTATCTCCCCCCACCTATCACAGGGAGCTAGTTGGCCCCCTAACACTACCAGGGCCACGTAGGCCCTGGTAATGGGGTTAACCCTTACATGTATTATGCATGGTCTCGATATTTTTCTTTTACTTGGAATATTTCCAAGATGCAATAGTTATAGAAGCAATGGAGGATTAATTAATGTAGGAAATTTGGAAGTCTAACCTTTAAGTCCAAAATCATGGGCTCTATATATTTATTATATTAACCACCCTCCTTATTAAAAAAATCCCCCCCTCTCCTTTTTCCTGCAATACATTTCATTTCATAAAAAAAAAACATAGCAGCAGTATTAAGAAAGAACATCACCAAACANNNTATTAAGAAAGAACATCACCAAACATGGGGCTTTCTTATTTCTCAGGATGTTTCCGACATACCTCGGTTTCCTCGACCGTCAATCCGAACGAAGACGAAAGCGGTATGTTCCTAAAACTCACCCATACATTTTCAATGTTATGCAATATGCAACATGGTCATAACTTGAACTAAATCCAAGAACAGGTGGTGAATTTGTTCCAATCCCGAAATTTGGTGTATTCTCTTACGATGAACTGAAAGCTGCCACTCAAGGATTCAGGTACAAGATTGGAGAGGGAGGACATGGTTCTGTTTACAAGGTGATTGTTTGATCATGAAACATATTAATGCGAACATAAGATATGCTGGATTCAACGGTACTGGATAGACTCGACGAAGAAAGAAGTATTTATCCAGTGCCTTCTAATATTGCATACTAAACATACACTATTTTTGGGTTCATCGGCTAAAATAACCTTTTGGCTGGTAAAAATACAGGGACGACTTCAACGTGGTGTTTATGTAGCTGTCAAAGTGTTATTGGTTGAGCTGGAATCAATGCGTGGCGAGAGGGAATTTATAGCTGAGATAGCAGCATTGTCTGATATCAAGCATGAAAATCTTGTTACTCTCCTAGGTTGTTGTGTTGATGGAGCAAAACGACTTTTGGTTTACGAGTACATGGAAAATAATTGTCTCGCTCATGCTTTTCTTGGTAATTGTCGTCTTAAATTCTGAAATACTGAAAACAAGTACATAGCTTGAACATTATTAGCCAAACAAATTAAATTGATTGAAACTAATTGAATTTTTTATTAACAGGCAGAGAACAAAACAGGATGAAATTTAACTGGGAATTAAGAAGAGACATCTCAACAGGTATTGCAAAAGGAATTTCCTATCTCCATGAAGAAATCGACCCTCATATTGTGCATCGAGATATCAAAGGGAGCAATATACTTCTAGATCAGAATTTTACCCCAAAACTCGGGGATTTTGGTCTATCTAAGCTGTTCAAAGACGACATATCCCACATTAGTACTCGTGTTGCTGGAACATTGTAAGTAGATTTAATGGTCCTTCAGCATAATTATGTATGAATTTTCGTTGCTAATGTTGTTTCTTTGTTCAAAATTGTCATAGAGGCTATCTGTCTCCAGAATATGCAACCAGTGGACAGTTGACACGAAAATCAGATGTTTATAGCTTTGGCGTGCTGCTACTAGAAATTGTCAGCGGCCAACCAGTAGTTGATTTCCATCTACAATATGGAGAGCAGTTCCAGGTAGAAAAGGTGACAATCTTTGACCAAAGATAGAAAATTCATATTATAAAAGGTTACTTATATTGAAAGTTACTCTCAATTTCACAGTACAGGAAAAGGAGAAAATAGATGCCTATTAACATTTTACCTCTGCAGGTGTGGGAATCATACAAAGACAACAACCTGTTGGAACTCATAGATCCTGTGTTGAATGAAGAATTCCCAAAAGAAGAAGCCATCTGGTTCTTAAAAGTCGGGCTGCTCTGTGTGCAAGAGAACGCCAGTCTCCGGCCTGGAATGTCCAGTGTCTTTAATATGCTGAAACATGAGATCAAAACAGAAAGTGTCATAATATCACAGCCTGGACTTGTTTGTGATCTGATGGAAGTCAAAATACGCCAGAAGCAATCGTCGAATTTTCCACGTTCACAGGCATCAGATAGTACAGCCACACTCCAAGCACGACGACTAGCTACTGGCTAGAGGATATACTTGTAATTCATAATTCATAATTCTTTATTTCTGCAAATCAATCCTAATTTTGTATATACTTGTACACCCAGTTTACACCCCTCACGTGCATAATAAATCTGTGCAAGCCTCCCTCCATGTGATGGGGTTTAAACTCGGGTGTACACCCTTGACCCTTATGTACGTGTAGCATTTCCCGCTTGTTTGATATCGTAGAACTTCCATTGCTTATGCAGGACAAAACAAGGTCATATTTGGCTAAGCTCAAAAAATTACTTATAAGTAAATATATTTAAAAAATAAATAAATATCTTTTGTTTATCAAAGTTGAAAATAAGTGAATTTTTAAAAGTAAACATTACTTTATTGTCAAAATGAGAAACTTTTTGTACTTGAAATGGAAAAAGTAACTTATTTAAACACATTTGAAAAAATAAAAATTCATTTTTAAGTAAGTTTGACTTGCTTTTAGCCAAGAATACTCATGGGTCACAAAATGAATATAGAGTTTTGCTACATAAACACAGCCAACATGGCCCTTTCATGTAGCACAATTCATGAATATAACACTAAGTACCCGTTTGGTATGGACTAAAATTAGATTTATAGTAAATTTTGATAACAAATGATGAAATTTGTAGTTGAAAAATTGTTAATTTCATGAAATGAGTGATTAAAATTAATTGTTGATTTTGATTAAAATTTTAATTGAATTTTAATCCAAACCAAACAAGGTCTAAAAATGTCTCACTCACCAATTTGAAGTTCTAAAGACAAAATTGGGGAACACAAAAATACGTACTTTTACGACGACAACGAGAATTCGAAAGAAAGTGATAGAATCCTAGTAAAAATATTATTTAATTTACTTTTTAAATTAGATATTTATTTTAAAATATATAATTAGAATTTTATTTAATAAATTTTTCATAATTTCTATTTAGCCCTTCATTTTAGACTACAATTTTTTTTTTTAATTCCTATTATATTCTTTAATTATTTAATGATTCAACTTATTTGTATTTATTTTAATTTTATTTTTTTAAAAATATATTTGATTGTTTATTTAACTTTTTATTTTTTAATTGCGTTATTAAGTGTAATACTTATTTTTAATTTATTAACAAGCGCAATATTTTAGTTAATTAAATATATTTTCAATTTAATAATTCGAGTAGTAATATAATTTGTAATTAAATAAATTTTGAAATAAATTAATCGTTGAGAATTAAAAAATAAGGAAATAGATAAAACACCATCCATTTGGTGCATTACTTGATGTAGAGGTGTGAAAGTTGTACGAATTTGGTGTTAATGGTTGGAGATGGCCTAAGAGATATCTAATGGAGCTGTGTAGGGGTGGGCGCGGGTCGGGTCGGTTCGGTTCGGTTCGATTTGGTTCGATTTTTTTCGGTTCCAGAAATTTTCGGGTATTTAGTAAATGGAACCGTCGGTTCCAAATATAATTTTGGAACCATTCGGTTTCGGTTCGATTCGGTTCGGTTCTGTTCGGTTCCGCTCGATTCTGTACTATAATTAAATTT